CTCAATTGTATGAATTTTATGTAACTCAATTCTCAATCCTTTGAGAAGAGCACTTTATCCCTTTATTAGAAATTGCTATAAGATAGAGGGAGGGAAGAAAGAGCAAAGCAATGGATATCAATCCTAAGAAAGTGTGGTCTTTTACAGAAAAAAAAATCTAAATAAGTAGAGGTCTCTGGATCTCATAGTACATGCTCTGTACAATCAATTTTATATTAATCAAGTCTCTTAATGGGAATATGTTGATGTGACATCCTGACAGATGCAAAAGAACAAATAAATGTATGCTTGTCATATCTTGATATTTTCATGTTGCACAGAAATCTTCCATTTGTCTGTTTCTATCTTGTCACAGGATATTGTGAGAGCTTTGAAGAGTGGATAGCAATGTATGTTCAAAGATTCTTTGACCCAGTTCAATATTTTTCTTTATTTGTAAGTGTAAGATAGAAAAGCATTGATTTCTCTAAGAATCAGAGTCCTTCACTACATACCATGTTTCCTTGAAAATAAGACCCAACCGGAAAATAAGCCCTAGCATGATTTTTTTCAGGATGCTCATAATATAAGCTCCACCCTAAAAATAAGCCCCAGTTAAAATCATCAGTCAGACGGATGCATTTAGTACTGTATTTCCCCGAAAAAAAAAAGCCCTAATGCATCTTTTGGAGCAAAAATGAATATAAGACCCGGTCTTATTTTGGGGAAACACAGTAGCATCAGCTCTATTTTAACTGATAGATAGCACTACCAGCTAAAGCAAATAAATCCATTCTCTTCCCTATTTTTCATTTTAGAAGACAGTAGAATGCACCAAACTGATTTTTGATCTATGCAAATTGTAAGTAAGCTGTTGTTTATGGGGAAATTAATTAAGAGCTTTAATTAAACTCCGCTACCAGAATGTTAATTTTCAAATCTTCTCCCTGTCTGGAACCTGCGTCAAATAGCCATCATCCAATGCCAGACTGCCTTCATCTCTACTCAGTGATCTCTATGTTGTCTCCTCTTTGGTGATCTTGAATCCTCCCTGAATCCAGATCTATTCTGTAGTCTAAATTTGCTTAATGCCATGTTTCCTTACTAGCCATTTTCTCCCTTCCTCCTCTTAATTCCAACAATAACTCTCTCTGTTCTTGCAAGCTCCTTAACAAGACACTCTGTGCATGCATAAAAAAACTTTAATTTTCTCCCAGCTCTTTCCTAGCATCAGTTTATCAACTGAAAGTACAGCTTCTATGTCTGGAGGATCATATCTCAGGATGGTAAACAGTATTTATCTACTCCATTCTTTCACTCTTATATTTTAACCTCTTCATCTGCAGATCGAAGAAAATATCTTTGAAGATTACCAACAAACACCTCACTTTACCAACAAACACCAGGCCTCACTTTTAAAATAAGAATCTGTAATGGTCAGAGCCTAAATTAAAGGTAACACATCTTTGGATTTTATGTGTATTTTGGATCATATTTTATAAAAGGAAAAAAAGGAAAAATATCACTGTTTTGCCATTGAATTTACATAGTGTAATCCTGAGACTTTGAATGCCGTAAAAATAAAACTGTAGCTCCCTCCTACATGAATAATCAAAACTAGTGTATTGGAAAAGCCCAACAGTTTCTTTACAATGTCTAAGTGCATTTCAGACTTAAATCAGACATAAACCTCAGTTATTCAAAACTGATGCTAGGATATAATCTATGAAAAAGGTAGTAGCACAATTTTCCAGCTATTCCTCGGAAGGTAATATAAAAAGCAAGACATTATAAAAAGTAAAAATTCTTCTCACTTCTACATTTAAAAAAATACTACTAGGCCAATCCATAACACAGCAGTGTTTCCAAGATTTAGATGTGCAACTTTTTAAAAAAATTAAAACTATAACCTCATTCTCCTTAATTTCAAAATCCCAAAATATCAAGGTATACAAGAGGGATAAAAATGGATACAATATTTTACTATTCATTAACTGCAAAATGACAACCATAAAAAAATTATAGGAAATTATGCTGCATTAAATACTGTAGGCAGGATGTCATGAACAAAGTATACTTAATTTGAAAAAAATGTGATATACCTCTTAGAACAGAGGTCCCCAACCTTTTGGGCACCAGGGACCGGTTTCATGGAGAAAGGTTTTTCCGTGGACCGGAGAGTGCATGGTTTTGTATGCTGCCTGCATCCCACAGATGGGACTTTGCTTGTTTGTGTGGACCAGTTACTGGCATGCTGCGGCCCAGTACTGGTCCACGAACCAGGGGTTGGGGACCTCTGTTTTAGAACATCTATCATATAGAAATTGTTTAAATAAATAAATCATGTCAGTATAAAATAACATTCATAACAAAGAATGTAGTACTCTATATCAAATATCAGCAAGCACCTGTCTTTAAACATACACTGCATCCAATTTTATGAAAGGAAGTCCAGGACACAGCACCTAGCTTTTACTCACACAACACTGCTCCCATCATCTAAGCATACAGGCTTCATGTATCAGACTGGATGATAAAGAAAGGACATAGACATACACATCTTTGTATTCATATATTATTATTTTTTTACCCTTCAAATTAGACTGGCCTCTAAACACTTCAGATTACTATAGCCACATTTAAGTTGAAGCATATAGATATATTGCTATACTGTTTGTGGCCTGCAGTTTAAAATGCTTATTATCATTTAGTCATTCTTGAATATTTCTCAATAAAGCATTGCAAATTAACAAGTAATTTCAAACTATGGTGACTGGAAGGTTAAGAAAACAAATGGAGGATAAAGTAATGAGCACTTATTAGTTTAAATAACATTATTTTTCCTTTTTTTGGTCTTTTTTACGGTATTGCTAAAACGGCAGAAATTATTTGAAACATTAAGTGGGTCTGAGAGCCCAGAAGAAGTGACTATGATGTAAACCAAATAAGTCATATGAAGTGGAGCTGGGATTTTTCAAGATTTTTTTGGTCCTGGGCTGGAACTATTTTAAAGGTTTGGGTGCTTATATTACCGGTTTTATACACCTGTTTTTAAATGATGGGAGAGCATGGCAGTGATTTTTGCCAGGTCCTAGATGCCATAAAAAGGGGAAGATTGTGTTAAAACTGCTTGGCTTGCATTATATTACAATCTCAAATCAAGTTTAACTGTTACAATTTGACAGTTCTTTTACGGAGATGTTCACCCTATCAAATCAATAGCACTGCAATAGCCAACTACCTATGACTAGTTTGTTCATTAGTAATAGTGGTCTTAATTATATGGATTATTATTTTAAAATAAATTACGAATTGGGAGAACCATCTTCTAGATTTGTATTTTAAATAGAACATATCATAGTTATCTTCATCTCAAATAGAAGTCTATGAAATTATTATACTCATTGTATCAAGCCATAAGAAAGCTAACATTTCTAAGTATGTCAGTAATCTTAAATAATTGGATTACACTAGATTACACCGTTAAGTGATTATTCCTTGTGGTAATTAAGTATTTTACTTTATATGAAGGCTTGAGAGTCGATTGAGTTGAACAGAAATAGAATGAATAAACAAACAAACGTCAGTGACAGAGAAAGTTGCATTGTAATCCAAGCAAATATTTCATAGATCCTTAAGAAAAATAATAATTGTTGACTTAATGAAGCAAGATGTTTGTAGTTACTATTGCTACTCAACAATTACCTTAAATATCCAAAACAAAAATCAAAACAGTTACAGATTTGCAGATGAGGTAAATGTTCAATTTTTCTCAAGCAAGTATCTCTGGCTGGGTTCATTTCTCATGTTAAGTCATGCTTCATTTCGACCATGATTTGTTGATTAACCCACAATATAACACTTAGCCACAGTAAAACAAGACATGAAATCATCTTCATTTGCAAACCATCTTTTATGGCTTTGTTTCTATAAATATAGCAACAGTGATAAATTCAGTCAACCATGATTACTCAAACAAGAACAATTACTCAGAATACTGTTATACTACAGGCAGTCCTTGACTTATAACCACAACTGGGGCCAGAATTTCTGTTGCTAAATATGGTGGTTGTTAAGTGAGTCATGCCTGATTTTACAACCATTTTGCTATGGTTGTTAAGAGAATCACTGTGGTTAAATGAGTCATGCGGTTGTTTAGTTAATTTGGCTTCTCCCATTGAATTTGCTTGTCAGAAGCTGGCTGCGAAGGTCGCAAATGGCAATTACATAGCTGCACAATGCTGCAACCATCGTAAATACATGCCGGGTTGCCAAGTGCCTGAATTTTGATCCCAGGACCATGGAGATGCTTTGATGGTTGTAAGAGCAAGAACCAGTTGTTAAGTCATTATTTTTACTGTCACTGTAACTTTGAACGGTTGCTAAACAAATGGTTGTAAGTCAAGGACTACAAGTATAACATCTGCTTTGCTGTCTCTTCCCCTTCCCCCCTTCCATTTTTCAAAATTACAGTGCCGAGTTCTGGAAACAGGTATTATTAAGGCCAGAGACTGTCTGCTCTAAATTCCAGCACTGTTTTAGAGCTTATCTCCCTTTTCTTCCCCCACATTCACAGACACATGTAGAACAACAAATTATGGCTCACTCAAAAGGTCTTATTCTACAAAATTTATGGATGCAAAATACAAAACAACCACTCTCATATTTTATAAAAATAGCATCTCAGATACACTATGATATTATTGGTGTCTACAAGTACTGTAATTATATTTTTATCCTAAGAAACCTACAAGAACTGTCTCTCTTGGATAATGTTTGTATGATAATGTTTCTTCACTTGACTGGACAAATCAAGTTTCTCCCTTGGATACATTCTATATTTAATTTTTCACCCAATCACACTAATATTATGTCCAGAAATGCTTAAGTAAAGTTTCTTGTATAAGAGGAACAAAATTTAGAAGAGAACAAGTATTTAAATTAAAGTATTTTCATTTATTGGAGGGGGGAAGATTAAATCGAGAAATAAATTGTTTGAAGAAAAAATGGAATGTACTTACCAATATTTTATTATCTACTTTATCGCTCTTGACTTCAAGTTTGACTTTCTTTTTCACAGAAATCTTTATCTTCCTTCCAATCACATCCTTGACGCTTTCTGAAATAGTAGAGAGCATAAAATACTTTCAAGTGTTCAGGATCTGAAAAAAATCTATATTACTATTTTATCCCCAAGTAAAAATTCTTCAACATAAATAATAAACAAACAACAAACAACATTCTTCCTCTCTTATTAACAGCTCCATTCACTTTATAATGTACTTGAGACAAAATTTTTCGAGGGCACAAATACTCAACTGACATTTCGTCTGTACCGTTTGAGTGCTGCAGTGCACTGTAGCGTGTTACGTAGACTCGAAAAAGCGGTAACGGCCGTTACCCCACCCGTACCAAAGGACTACTACGCAGGCCGGGCGTCCGGCCGTCAAACTGTGGGGACGACAAAACACTAAGGAATGGTAAACCAAAATAAAATTACTCCTTATAACATACTTGGCCCCTTACTGTCCTGTGAAAAAATAAGTATACCCCATTTAAATCTTTTACTGTTTCAACACATTTCAACATACAGATATTTTATTTTCATTTCAACACTACAGAGGATATATCAAATACCACACATCATTTTCATTTTGTAGTCCACTGTGTAATTTAAATATCAATGCAAATTTGGAATATGAAAATGTAAGTACATACTTACATAAAGCATTACTTCAGGTAGCCTAAAATTAGAATCAGATGCACCAGATCAGATATAAATGTTTAGAATATTATTAGGGAGGATCTGGGAGGAACCTATCAGACTTTTGGTTTGATTTGTTTGTTGTTGTTGAAATGCGTGGTATCACCATTTCTAGACTGAAATTGCCTACAGGTGTCTACAACCTTCAGAAAGAAGGTTCATCTTCACCTATAAGTCTGGGAATGAATTTCAAAAGATTATCAAACAATTGGACATCAGTGATTCCACTGTCTAGAAAATATTGATATGCCCACATTTGTTAAAAAAAAACTTTAAATGGGGTGCACTTTTTATATAACTAAATGCTTGATCTCGTTTATACTCAGATATTCTACATAACAGCCATTTTCACTGTATACGTAAATGTAATTTTTGAGAAATGACCATCACTGTCCCTCCCATCCACACATCAGAATACCACAATAGTTCCAAATATTTTTCTCCGACAGAATTAAAATAGGATCTCAAAATATATAATGACACTTCCTCTAGCAACATAGTTGTCCTTGAACTATGCACCAAACAGATTACAGTGCTGGACTCTTAAGCACAATAATTTTCTCCTGTAATATTTTTGTATTCTAAGTATTCCAGTTTAATTCCAAAATACTGAGCCAAGAGCATGAAAAGCTGCCATTCCAAAACGGGCTTCACAGAACTGTTACTCAAACTGCTGTCATAGTTTGATGCCAAATTTTCATTCAATTCTAATACCATCTGTCACAGGTCACAAACAACTTCCTTCTCAAAGACTTTTCATGCATTTTTCTTTCTTTCTCGCGCTTTCTCTGCATAAGAAGTAGAGTAGAGATCATAGGCAGAACTATATTTAAAACTCAGACTTAGGGAGAGGGGATTTCTTGCACAGGCTAGCTAGCTCTTTAGCATATGAAAGAGGTTACATCATTCATCTTCACTTGTGCAATAGTGTTCTACTCGGCCTGCCCTGAAGCATTTCATTTCCCCCCCCCCCATCCTATTTACAATGTCATGCAAGTGACTATGGTCATATCTATACTAAGAAGTTTGTCATCTTATACAAGGATAAACCACATGTACTAATTTGTAAGCTGCCCAGTCACCTTGCAGGAGAGATGGGCAGCACAGAAATTTAATAAACAAATAAGTAAATACATACCGTATTTTCCGGCGTATAAGATGACTTTCTAAACCCTGAAAATCTTCTTAAAAGTCGGGGGTCGTCTTATACGCCGGAAAATACTTCTCAGCACTTCTTCATCCGGGGCCTTTTCGGCGTTTACCTCTCACCCCCGGTGGGAGTAGCTTGGGGGAGGGGGAGCTTGAAAGGAGGTGGGGCGGTAGGAGATGCTCATGGGGGATGCAGTGGCGGCTCATACTGAGCGTGCGACCGGCGGCTGCGGAGGTGGGCAGGCAGGCGGCGACGGCGTAAGGCGTTCCCTCTTTCCTCGCGCCCCACACAGTAGGGAGGAAGGAGGAGGCTATGGCTCTGGAAGGGGAGGGGTGTCAGCTAAATTCCTCTCGGAATTTATCACAAGATGTCATTGATATTTTTATGATATCAGATGACAAACAGGATGATTTTGAAGGCTTTTAAAGGGAAAGTGTCACGCCAGCAAAACCTGTAAAAATAGCTTGCAGTTATGATGGGCGTTGCTGACTCGCCAGGGACTTGCCCGGCACTTGCTCTCTCTGTTGTTTGTTATCTTCCTCCTATCATCATCAGTTCCAGTTTGGTTGACAGCTTAGAAAACAAACAGCATGGCAGCTCCCATGGGTTTATTGTCTTATCCTTCCTTTCAGCTTTAGAGTGAATTAGGAAAAGTTTAATCCACTTGCACTGTTTTATGTTTACATGTTTGATGACAAACAGTCTTATGTTTATAAGTGACAGTTTTCCTGCTAAGTACCTGCATGTCATAAGCATTTGAATTAAAATTACCATATTGAAATCAAATCTGATGTTTTTTAATTTTTATTTGGTGTGCGTTGGAAGAGGGGTAGTCTTATACGGCGAGTATAGCCCAAACTTTATATTTTAACTGGAAAAGTTGGGGGTCGTCTTATACGCCCAGTCGTCTTATACGCCGGAAAATACGGTAACTTGTGAAATAAGATATAAATAAAATGAAATAAACAAATAAAATACAATAGTAAAATAATAGCGTAGCAAAATACCCAAACCAGCCCTAACTATTGTTTTAATGGAACTGGTTTGGTCTAGTGCAGAGGTCCCCAACCTTTTGGGCACCAGGGACCGGTTACGTGGAGAGAGGTTTTTCCACGGACTGGAGGGAGCGTAGTTTTGTGTGCTGCCTGCATCCCGCAGATGGGGCTTTGCTTGTTTGTGCAGACCTGTTACTGGCATGCCGCAGCCCAGTACTGGTCCACGGACCGGGGGTTGGGGACCCCTGGTCTAGTGGTTAAGGAACCAGGCTAAAAACCAGGAAAGTATTCTAGTCCTGTCTTAGGAATGAAAGATGGCTGGGTGACTTTGAGCCAATAAGTCTCTCTCAGCCCAACTCAGGTTGTTGTTGGGGGGAAAATAGGAGGAGGAAGGAGTATTAGATATGCTTGCCACCTTTTATTATATAGATAGGTTGTGTGATTGTGTGGCGTTTATAGGCCTTCCTGGGGAGAAGAAAAAGAGAGACAAAAGCAGTGATGGCCTGGCAGTTTCTATCAATCTGGAGGACAGGAAAGGTGGCTGGAAGCTGGCAGGAATAGTGAATAGAGATAATGGATGACCTAAGAAGAAGGTGGGGAAATGCTAGGAGAGGAAGAGATAGAGAAAAGTTCCATCTGTCCTAGCCAGTGTGGTTCTCTATCTAACCCTTCGACCTTCAATCGTCTTCGTCTCCTTATACACCTAATTACACCTTCTTCCATGTCGTCCTGTCCCCTGAGGAACTTCAGATCTACCGTTCTATTCTCCGATACTTACAGTACTTCCTCTTGTTTTCTCCGTTTTTTCTTGTACCTCTTTTCCTGTCCACCCATCTTATCCCTAACCTTAACACCTCCTTTGTGCAAGAAAGTGAAGTTGGGAAAATTTACTCCATTCTAAAAATAGTATATCCACAGATATACTATTAAGCTTTAATTCTAAATATTAAGAAAGGTTAATATAAACTTCAAAGCAATTAATTGATGCTTCCAACATTAGATAATTCAAATTTATTCTTCAGGATATGCAATATACTAATGCTTTATTGTATATTAATTTGTATCGTAAGTTTATCTCTCTAGAAGTTGCCAAGAGCAAAACTGAAGTATGTTGATGGATTAAAATAAATTATATAAAGTGCTAATTTTAATCAAAATGATTCCATCTGGCTTGGTGCCAAGGAATCTGCATCTCTTTTATCCAGGATCAATCCATTTGATCATGTAATTTAGGGGAAATTGTTGATAGTAACCCTTCCTCCTGAAAGATTAAAGAGACTGCATTGTGAAATAACTATTTACTGGAGGTCATGCTTTCTCTGAACTTACTGGCCTTCCAGAAGCAGTTTCTACCAGAAGCAGTTTCTACCAGAATTTGTCTAAAGGATTTTTTTAATTACTTAAGATAGCACCACATAAATTGTTTATATTCTTCAGTTTTAAGACAGTTAAATAACTGTTGCCACTGTATTTATCTTTACATTATTGTAGTGTAGATGTTTTCCTTTGTAAACTACTGACATGCACATGATTACAATGGTCTAAAAATCTAATAAATATGTAATTATTTCTACTCCAAGTTCTTCTCCAGTCAATTATTCTGAATGAGTTTATATCCAATTACAATATATATATATAAAGTAACTTTTCTACAATATTCAGAACAAGCTCACACATTCACTTGGAAATGGTTTTTTTCCCATCTGATACATTTATAAAAAGAGCACATTTTCCCATCTGATCCATTTATTGTGTATTTAACTACATATGTATTAGCAGATTTTCAATGAAGCTCTTATTTAGCATCATCTACTCATTATACCCATTCAGTGTTCTTGAGATATTTTGAGTGTGTTTCCATATCAGCAAATCTGCTTACAGAATGATTTACCAGTATATGGTTCAACTAATAACACAGATATATGACAAGGTCAGTTTTTGCATTAGGCTAGATTCCACCGAGTTCTACAAGGAGGTAAATGGACCACACTACACACTGCCACACAGCTGGAAGCTAAGAAAATTGCCCCCAAGTTCTGCATGCATGCCTGCACAATCAAAATTCAGTCCATTTCCTGGGCAGTGTTCCCTTTACTGTTCTGAACTGGAATAAATTAAACTGTGCCTTTGCACTACTACCATGTTTCTTTATATAAATATATTTCAAAACCTTTTATTGTAACAGTCGGACTAAAATTTAACATTTGCAGGTAAATTTAGTTGGAGAGCTTCCGTTAAGCCCACCTATTTCAAGAAATAGCCATTCTACATCTATTAGCTTGAGTATTGCAAAAGTGGAAAAGGAAGAAAAATAGCAAATACTGCATAGCTAGGCAAAATAATGTGCTGTAGTTGGAAGGTGAAAAGCCATCCTTTCACAATGTCTGAAAACCTATACTGTACATATTTGCTTGTGCGAAAGCTCCACTGAATCTGTGAGACTTCTTCCCCCAAGTAAACATAGAAATGAATAAGGCAATCAGAACACCCTTCTGAAATATTTAGCCTGTACACATATCTGAGTGGACTACGCAAAAAAAATGTATTTGTATGACTCAGAATTTAGTAAGGTTTTTAATCTGTTCGACAAGCATTCTCAGAATTTAGCATAACAAGAAGAGCAACAAGCAATATGAAAGTAAATTACAGTAATCAGTACAGGAAAAGACATGATGCGTGCTTAATTATTTTGTCAGCATTATACATTCACCAGCTGCCCTGATTTTGGACTACAGGAAAGCATATGCAAGCCTACAATAAGCAAAGTGTGTGTTCTCAAAAAAGGTTTCAATGCAGCAGATCCTTTTTAAATAACAGAGGAAATATTTCTTTAATTAAACAAGATTGAAACAGCCAAGAACACCGGATCTGTCCATCAGCAATTCCTTTTCATAATTAAGATGTAGGCAAAGATGACCCACCCCCCATTCCACAGTGGGATCAGCAACAGATGCTTTGACAGTCTTCCTTCTTGGCTTTTACACCCCCTGAAGCATTGCAACCATTTGCCCCCAAATCACGATTTGCCAAGCGGGAGAAGTACGTCCAGGATTCCTAGTTAAGGAAAACCTCTGCCCGCCTCTTCTGTGGAGAAAGCTCCCAAGGCATTCAACTGAGGCGGGAAAGGAAGATACCACCAGCAATGGAAAGCCTCTGGGGGGGCAAACATGAGCCCCAGGGGCTGTTAGTTTTCTCCCTCTGACTGGTCGCCATTCCGACGCGAAAGAAAAAGGAACTCTTGGCCCGAAGGAGCAAGCCGCCTTCAAGCACCGCCTCGAGGGGTTAACAGCGTTTACACCAGGGGTAGTCAACCTTGGCTCTTTTATGACTCGTGGACTTCAACTCCCAGAATTCCTGAGCCAGCTTAGCTGGCTCAGGAATTCTGGGAGTTGAAGTCCACGAGTCATAAAAGAGCCAAGGTTGACTACCCCTGGTTTACACTTAGTTTGCCTACAGACGCCAAGCGTTCCGCTCCATTTGCCTATTATCGCCGAGGCTTGCAAAGGCTGCGCAATCTCCCTCTTGCCCGCGTCTCCCCCTTCCCGTCCACAAGTAAATCTCTTCCAGGAACAGAGGAGCCAAAAGGGCGAGCGAGAGCTTCAGCCGTCCCTTATCTTTCCCGCCACGCCTTCCTTCCTTCCCCCCTAGAGCATTTCACGCAAAGGATAAGAGACTGCGGGGCTACCGAGGTGAGGGGGCCATTTCATCCCTCACCTCCCTATCGCTGTCGGGAAACGGCTCCTCCTCCTCCTCCACCCCCCCACAACCCCCACCTTCCAATCTCCCGCGCTCCGGTGTCCACCATTCACCCCAGGGGTAGGCAACCTTGGCTCTTTTATGACTCGTGGACTTCAATTCCCAGAATCCCTGAGCCAGCTTAGCTGGCTCAGGAATTCTGGGAGTTGAAGTCCACGAGTCATAAAAGAGCCAAGGTTGACTACCCCTGATTCACCCGAAGGGGGGAAAAAAAGAGAGGAAGCGCACACGCTTACCCAGCAACTCTTTGGGAACGTCCGCGCTCTCTTCGGTCATCCTTGCTGGGGCTTTGCCTTCCCTTCTTTGGAGCGAGGAGGCGGACGTGTTGCTTGCTGCTGACAATTAACTCGCGCTTCCCGCTCTCCGCCCTCACCTTCCTAGGTGCCCCCCTCGGGCGACGCGAATGAATTCCAATCAGCTGTTTAGGGGGGAAAAAAAGGGGAGGAAAAAGGGCCCCGCAATCCTGCTGGTGCTGGCCTCCCCGCCGCTTTCGGAGGAGGAGGGGGATTTAAAAAGCCTGGAAAACCGAGGGAGAGTTACAAGATTATTGCTACACGACCCCGCTTCATCTCAGCTGCAGGCGGAGGAGCAGGCTTCGCGAGGGAAAAGACCGCAGCCCCGGACCGTCTTCGCGCGGCTCGGCTCGGCTCTCCTATTCCTGCTGCGTCTGCGCTCCTCACTTTCGCTTTTCCCTCTTTCCTCCTTCCTGGCCGCGGACGAGCTTCGCTCTCTTCTGCCCGGCTCCCCTCCAGCCTCATGCAGCCACCTCCCGGCCTGAGGTGCAAGCGGAAGGCGTGGGTGGAGGCGGCGCTGGCGGCATTCCCGGCTCCAGCGGCGGACCCCAGCCTGGCCCGGGGGCTTCCCTTCAGGCACAAACACAGCCCGCTCCAGCCAAGCGGCTGCGGCGGCCTCCTCTTCCCCTCGCGAGAGCCGGCCGCGGTCTGAGCGGCTGCCCGAGAAATGCTCGAGCTTGGGCGAGAAAGCTCGTCTAGGCAGAAGGGAATTTACCCTCCGCCAGCCCCGCGTTAGCTCACAGATTCCATGCGCGCAACCAGGCAGGGAGCTGGAGTTTACATATTTTTTTCCTAGGACCGCCGAGAGGGAAGCCAGGGAGGAAGCAAGGGTGCTTAACGTCTTAGATGGCATCGTCGGTTTTGCTGTTGATGCCTCTCTCTAGCCCTCGGTAGATGACCAAAGGTCTAAATGATTCGGACTCCCTCTTTTTCTAGGGAGGGAAGGGAACACGAGGGAAAGGGTGGTAGAAAAAAAAAAAAAAATAAATAAAAGCTGCTTTTTAAGGTTATTCACGCTTGTTGAAAAGGAGCCCCGACCCATCAAGCGAGGTTGGATCCGAATTACCCGAATGGTCGTTTTGTAATGCGGTTTTATTTCATTTAGCCACGTTCACAACCCAACTCCAGTTCACTGAGTACTTTTTATTATTATTTTATTATTATTTATTAAATTTATATCCCGCCCTTCTCCTTGCGGACTCAGGGCGGCAAGATTGACAAGATGTTTACAACTTACCCAGCTGGAGCTGTCGTCTACAGAAGAAAAAGGCTTTATTAAATATGATTCCATGCAGCTATCTGAGACTGCCTTAAAGACTGGACTCTAATTCTTATAGGGGGAAAATGCATTAATAAAGTAGGACCAGTTCCAGGAACTTGGGAGGCACTAACTTTGTACCACTATTCTTCAACTAGTAGTAATACACGAAACACCTCAAGCTTTCCTGAAGTATTGTTAACAATAGGTAGTTTGAAAGAATTGTCTCAAACACAGCGGTGTAGGTTCAGATTTATTCTGCCTCTTAGTTTCATTAGGAAACATGAAATGAATTTATTGAATTGCTTTTTTATGTTGGTACCGAAACTCTTCTGCCTTTTGGCTGATTCAGAAGTAGCTTGTAAATACTATTTTCACAGACATACAAGTAGCAATTTGGTGATAGTTGGTAATTTAAGACTTAGCAAATATCTTCATTTCGTTGCCCATTGCTGACACTTAAAATGCTTTACTAAAACTTTTTATAAGCTTACCTTCATTTGGTGTCCTCCAGGTATGATGCACTATATCACTGATAATGCCTTAGAAAATATTTTATGAATTTGGGTGAAATTCTAGCCATGCCAAATTTGGATTTTAACCTTTCCCATTACATTTTTTGAAGGCAAGGAGTATCAGTTGCTTCCCTAAAATGTATAGCTTTAGTTGTTAGTAACAGGTCAATTTGTAACAGGATTTTTAAATTATGCTAAGGAGTGCGGTTTTATTTGAGTTTATATTTTTTTAATTTAATGAATGTATATAGCAGCTCATCTACCTAGGGCAGTGGTTCTCAACCTTTTTAATGCCGCGACCCCAACTGGTCGTAAGTCGAGGACTAAACCGGTCGTAAGTCGAGGACTAAACTGGTCGTAAGTCGAGGACTACCCAACCGGTCGTAAGTCGAGGACTTTCCCTGCCCGGGAGCGCCGCGCATGCATGGTTCCGCCCCCTGTGCCGGCCGAGGCGTAGCTGGCAAGCGGCAGAGACGGAGCAGGCCGACCACCAGCTGGCCCAGCCCAAGGGAGGTAAGGCACCCGCCAGAAAAGGGGGAAAAATGGCGGACAAAAAAAATGGCGGACAGCCTTGCTTGGCGACCCCCGTGAAATGGTCGATCGACCCCAAATGGGGTCCCGACCCACAGGTTGAGAACCACTGACCTAGGGGAACTATAGGTGGCATAGAGAAATAAAAACACTAAAAACCAGTACAAAATAAAACTGGATCAAATTACATTTGTTGTAGTTCAGCCGCTAAATTGTGTCTGATTCTCCTCGATCCAATGGACCACAGCACGTCAGGCTCCCCGTCCTCTACTGTCCCCCTAGAGTTTGCCCAAATTCACATTCATTGCGCCAATGACAGTATTTAATCATCTCATCCTCTGAGACCACCTTATCCTTTTGCCTTCAATCTTTCCCAACATCAGGGTCTTTTTCCAATGAGTCCTCTCTTCTCATTAGGTGGCCAAAGTATCTTGAGCATCAGCTTCAGTATCTCTCCTTCTAAAAAACAATCAGAGTTGATTTCCTTTAGGGTTGATTGATTTCACATCCTTGAAGTCCAAGGGACTCTCAAGAGTCTTCTCCCACACCACAATTTGAAAGAATTCTTTGGAGATAAGCCTTTCTTATGGTGCAACTCTTCACAGCCATGCATTACTACTGGGAAAGCCATAACTTTGAGTATACAGATCTTTGCCAGCAAGGTGATGTCTCTGCTTTTTTAATATGTTGTCTAGATTTGCCATTGCTTTCCTCCCAACATATTATCAACATATAAATATGTAGAGATAGAGGTCATGTAGAATTCGTGTGCAGCACACTGCCTCGGCTCAAATACATGATCTCACCGACATGATCTCACCTAGTTCACACCAACAGGATGTTGCAGAAAACTGCCCCTGGCTGGTAAATTCTTAAGGATTGACAAGAGTATCCACCAATAAAAGTGCTGTTGCTATGCTGTTGCTATGTTATCTTTTGCTGCTTGGAATAACTGTATAAGAGCAATAAACACTGTGAAAGGCAGTCAGACACCTTTGCACCCTGCAATGACTGGTCTCTGATTCCATCATAAATAAAATGGCAGTTGCAGCAGAACTCCACATCCTGGCACCAGTGTCTGCTGGAAAAGCTGTGTCATAGATCATAATCAGCTTCCAGAAGCCAAAAGGTTTGGGGTGTCTGTATCTTGGGGAGGTTGTTCTACAAGACACGTTCCATGACGGAGAAATCACACTACCTGGGACCTATCATCAGGTTACTTATGAGACTCAGAGCATCTCTGTTTCCCAATATGTCTTGAAGAGCTTTCTCCAATCTTAGGCTGTCTCGAAGTGTGTTGTACAATTCCTGACTTTTGTGGTCCTGCAATAGGAACCCAATCTGAGTATGAAATAAGATTAAATGATTGTGTGAATGAATTTGAAATAGATAAGCATTCTTTATAAACCTTCATATTTATTGTAATCTCTTATGTGATGATCTCAATCTAGATTGAGAGCTTGATGTTTGCTGCACTTTTCTTCTTACAAACATTTCATTACCAAACTAGATAACTTTGCCAAAATATTTGAATCCATAAATTAAACATCATATTTGTATTTTTTTCTTAGTTCAGCCTTTGAATATTAATCTGCTCCCCTATTGTCTGAAAAAAAATACCTATTCTAGATATATACCAGATCACTATTATAATATTACATCATCTGTTTCTGTATGTAGTTTTTTTACTTTATTAGTCAATATTGTCAACCTTATAAAAATCTTTGTTTTTTAACAAGTTGCTGATTTATGCGTTTTTGTTATAAATGATTACATTTATAATGTAATAATGTATTAATGTGATTAGTGAATAATAATCCTATGATTTACAATTTTGTATTAGTCCATTTAGGCCAAAATGTGTGTCTAATTGAATAGACAGCAATTCTTATCAAAGATGCAAAAAAAAAATATTCCAGTCCATGAAAGCTGGAACAGACTGCACATGAAGTTTTTTAAAAAATGAACAAAAGAAGAAAGATTGCAATCTGAGGGTCCTCTTACTGCATATTACAAGCTTAAAGCATCCAACATAAGACACTAACAGAAGAACTACTCATGTCAACTTAGATATAAACCATAATTAAGTTATTACGGCTTATTCTCAGATAAATCTCAGCTTCATGATTTCCTAGACCAACTTGAGTTTTTCATGTAGCACTTTGCTTTATCCTGAACAATTTGCCTCACAAAATATTGGCTTCTTGATCTTATTCTGCTTGATATCTCTTCTAACTTCACGACATGGGTTGGAAGAAAATTGGATAAATCAAGTTTCATTATTTATTTAGTAAATATATATGCTGCTCATCTCACCTAGAGATTTTATTTTCAATATATTTCAATCTATTTTCAATGTATTTGTTATCCTATAATACTGTAGGAAGGTAAGTATGTATTGGTGGGACTAAGCTACATTTGGAGGAGGAACTGGCAAACTGAATTGAAATTAGTAGCTTGTTGTGTTATTTGTGGCAGATATATCTGCCACATATTTATTTGATTATTTGATTAATGTCATTGTTGAAACATGAAGTGGATCATTATTATAACATTCTGAATCTGAGTGTTCCCATCAGCTGTTTCTTGGGGCTGTTTGTGCAAGTATGTAATTCTGGAAAGGAACATTAATCTAAAGCAGCATATTTTTATATTTATTATCTGTTGCTATACCTCTGAAGATTTTTTCCTCCACCATCTTAATTGATACTTTGGTAAAATAGATGACTAATCCATGAACAAAGTGCCTACTTTATCCTCATCCAATGGGTTTCTGCCAGGATCAAGTTTATATTATTGATCATAAAACAGCTAACTGTATTTTATTCTTCCATT